ACACCACTTTGCTAATTTAGTAGAGTTCCGCATAACAATTAATAGATTTTATGGGAGAATTCAATCATACACGCTATGATTATAATTTAAAGTTCAAAGGACTAAATATGCCGCAGCATATGTATCTTTTAAATTCGGACTTGTATTGCCCAATTGGTACACAATTAATTTGAAATCGGAAAAAATTTGGCAAAGATATTTCTGAGCTGTATTTGATATATTTCCCTGAATATCGTTGTTACGGAGTGCATATTACGGCTGTGGGTAACAAATATGACAAATCGAATGAACAGTATATATGGGAGCTATAGTTATATCTGAACCGATCTTCACCAAATTTGACATACTATCTTCTAGACTCAATTCGGTCGTAAGTGCCAAATTTCATCCAATTTGGGCAAATATTATAAATCTGAACCGATCTCGATAAAATTTAGCAAATGTATGTCTAGGCTATATTTGATATATTTCCCAAATATTGTTGTTACATATTACGGCTGCGGAGGACAAAAATAACAAATCGGATGAACATTATATATGGGATCTATAGCTATATCTGAAGCGATTTCGATCAAATTTGGCATGTGCAAATCAAATTGGTTGTATGTGCAAAATTCCATACTATTCGGACTGATATTACACGTTTGGTGCACAATAAAAAGCAAATCGAACGAAGATATATATGGGAGCTATATCTAAATTTTGACCGATTCAATACGGTTCGTCCTTGGGCCAAACAAATGATTTGTGCAAAATTTCATCTGGATAGGGCAATAAATGCGACTGTACTTTGTTTGCAAAAATACATGGACAGACGGACGGAAGGACATGCATAAATCGACTCAGATTGTGATTCTATGCAGATCATCAAAAGGAACTATGGGTCCATCTCGTTTCCTTTTGCCTGTTACAAACAAATGCACAAATGCATAATACCCTGACCACCTTGTGGTGTAGGGTATAAAAACAGGTTAAAAAGTATCAGTCAGAGAGTATATCCCCCAGCCAATGGAGTAGGTCCCGAAGGAAAGGGGCAAATATTGTCCACTTCGTATCGGATCTAAATAAATATAATAAATAAATATTGCGACGTGCCAGGTTTGGGCTATGTCGACTACTTCCTTCACTTTATATGAGATATATGATAATTAAATGTTCAAATGGGCGTGAGGTACAAGAAGAGACCGGAATTTTCCATTTTTATACTTCATCTACTACAGATAAAAAATTTGATACGGGCAAAATTACAAGAAAATAGAACATTTACGTCCAATTTTATGCGGAATCATAAATTCAATATTCATCTCAGGTTTCCAGTTGATAGAAATATGTAGTTATAGTTATCTTTAAAGAACCGCTGACTAGTTTCGCAAGTTATGACAGATAAACGCATTGAAAATTGTGAGGTGAGGTACCAGAAGTGCCTCGTAGATTTATTCACAACAGATCTGGTGTTGGCAAAAATGTTTGTATGTGTGAAATTTGAAGATATTTGTATGCTTAATTCACTTTGTGGGGGCGGTACCAGAAAAAATAATCCGATCTCTACCATCTTTATTTCAGATCTTGTAATAATGGAAATATTGAGATGTACTGAATGGAGTCGGATGTAAATTTTGCGTTTTATAAGCTTCGTTGATATTCAAAAATTTGACCCTTTGTAGGCGATGTACCAGAACGAGTGGCCTGATGCATTCCGATGTATGCACACCAGATCTTAGGTTAATAAAAATAATGTGATGTGTGTAATTCATATGTATAAAGAATATGGTTCTTCAATCATTTTCGCAGTGGCCATTTTTATACCCTCAGTCATATGGCTAGAGGGGAAATATCACATGATTCAGTCCAAACGTGCCTAGTCGTAATAAGGCACGGTTTTAGACCCTAGGTCTCTTTGGACCAAATCCGTTTCAGGACATTTGGAGTCGATCTAGCGATGTCCGTCCGTACGCCCGCCCGTTCCTCTGTCTGGCTGGTGCGCACGATAACTCTCGATGGGATTGATTTGATCCAAACTTGGTGCATCATAATATTTTTGTCAAACTTTAATCGTGTTCGGAGATGGGCAATATCGGTTCATTCCTTCTGGTACCTCCCCCACAAAAGATCGAAATTTTCAAAAAATATATTTTCTGCACAGAAAGAGAAACGATTATCCGATTTTGCTCCAACTTTGCAAATCTTACTATTTGCGTCAGTTCTACGTCAGGTGCAAAAATGGACAATATTGGTCAAATCCATCAAGAACCTACCCCACAAAGAGTCAAAAATTTCAATATTTATAACTATTAAAAAATGTGATGTAAAAATCCGATTGTCTTCAAATTTCAAACATCCCAACATTTTTATTAACCCAAGGTCTGGTGTTAAGATGGAATATATCGTTCTACTCCTTCTGGTCGAAATTTAAAAAAAAGAAAATATTTTCTGCACAGATAGAGGAGCAATAATCCGATCTTGCTCCAATTTTGTAAATCCTAATATTTGCCTCAGTTTTCGGGCAGATGCAATAATGGATAATATTGGACCACTCCATCAAGCACTTCCCACACAAAGGGTCAAAATTTTGAATAATTACAAATCTTATAAAATGTTATGTGAGGATCAGGATGTCTTAAAATTTCACACATCACAATATTTTTTATAAACTCAAGATCTGGTGTTAAGATGGAATACGTCGGTCCACTCCTTCTGGTACCTCCCCCACAAAGCATCAAAATTTTGAATATCCATGAAGCAATGCGAAATTAGAATTCGATTCCATTCAGACTTGGTGCATCTCAATATTTCTATCAAAATAGGATATGGTAATATCGTAGAGATCGGACCATTCCATCTGGTACCTCCCCCACAAAGGTTCAAAGTTTTTAATAACCTAAACGATAATCAAATCCGAAATAAGTTATCCTCAAATTACACACATCACTATATTTTTATTAACGTAGGGTCTGTTGTGAAAATGGGATATATCGGTCTACTCCTTTTGGGACCTCCCCCACAAAGGGTCAACATTTTGAATATCCATAAAGCTCAAAAAGAAAGAGAAAATTAACATCCGATTCCATTTGGGTTGGGAACATCTAAAAATTTCCATACACAGAAGATTTGATATTAAGGTGGTAGAGATCGACCCTGTTTTTGTGGTACCTCCCCCACAAAAGATAAAACAACTGCAACAAAGCCAAACGCCATAATTGTTAGTTTTTTTTCCAAATTTTAGTGAATGAAAGCAAAAAATGTCGGAAATAGCATCAAATTTAAGAATATGTTTAGATTTGTTCCAGTTGGTCACCTTTGACACGAATTTTGGCCTTCAAAGGGCCAATGAAACCGTCATACGCTACCCGAATGCTGCTCTGCGTCCACTCCCGGCGAAGCGCTTGCTTGAGGTGATCGACATTTTGTTATTTTTTATTGCCAACCTTCCTTTCCAAAATACTCCAGACACAATAGTCCAACGGATTGGTATCCGGAGATTTTAGTGGCCATTGTACGCTGGAAATTAAGCGAGGAACCTCATTTTGTAACCATTCTTAGGTGGCGCGTGCTGAGTGTGATGGTGATGAGTCCTATTGGAATGTCCAAGGACTGCGGCTAAAAAGTTTGCGTGCCCAAGGTTTTAATACACCCTCTAGAATATTTTTGCGATAATATTCGGCATTTATTCTGAAGCCACGGTCGATTAATACGAGCGGAGAGCGACCATCGGCTGTTATGGCAGCCCACACCATTACCATGGCCTGCGCTTGAGTTCTGGTGGCCAACCAAAGGTGCACATTTTCAACTGACCTCTTTGGCAAGAAAATGCGATCATTTTGTTTGCTTACAAACTGCTTGACTACGAATGTTTTCTCATCGGAGAAAACCAAAATCGGCTGTTCACCACTTTCGCCACACGAAGCAACTCTTTAGCTCTTTTGAATCTATTTTCTTTCCGTCGCGGGGTAAGTTATGGAACTTTTTGGAATTTCTATGGCTTTACCCCTAACTCCTTTTTCAATATTTGCCGAATGGAATACTGCGATATGCTCAGCTCACAAACCATTTTTCGGGCACTGCGACCCAGGTTTTAATCAAGTCGCTCTTTACATTTCGGACCATTTCTGCTGATGTTGCTATTTTTAACTTTTTTTTTGGAAAACTCTCATTAAAACGCTTTTGTACGCTTGTAAAAAATATAATTAGCTGTGGTTGGAATAATTTTAACTGCTGTCGGACGAGTGGCTTAGAAATGACAGCAGTCGGAAGTTGGTTGCAGTTTTTTTATCTCACCCTGTATATCATCATCTAATTTCACGGTTATAATGCACCAAAAATGTAATATCAGCCTAAATTGAATAAATTCTTGCACATTCAAACGAATTTTTCCATTTGGCGGAACTCGGCTAGGGTATATATTTTAATTTAATACTTCTCGAAGTGATATCATGTATCCTATAGCGAGGTTATTTGGCATCAGAGGTAAAAATGACTCCGTCAATTTGGTTGACGATTATTCTGAGTTAGTTCCCTCCGAAACAAAATTATAACTGCTCTTAAGCCATCTTACCAATTCCCAATATATAATAGTCCAGTTTAACCTTTGCTTACTGGTTTATGCGAAATTAATATGTGGAGAGAATATGGTTCTGCAATCGCTTTCGCGGTGGCCATTTTTTAATATAATTATTTACTGTTTTCCCCAGAGGAATTTTGAGTTGATACGAATGTGGAATAACATAAAACTCGAACACCCCCTCCCCCCATCTAATACTGTAATGTTGTAATTATGATAACGAATTATTTAGTATTTGTCCAGCCGAACACTAAAAACAATGATAAATCTTCGTCACACTCTTATACACCAAATGCACCAGAAAGAGACATCGAAAGAGATTTCTCTTATCTGCATTAAGAGCATTAAGTCGAAGAGAGGTCATCGATTGATAAGAAAAATACATTTATTTTCTCTCCCTCACTTCCAAAATTACTTAGTTGAGACAATGTTTTGTGCGCGATAACAACGAACCGGCTTTTACTGCGGAACCCACACCACACCCAGAGCAAAAAATGTTAATTGTTATTTTATTTATTTTAATAATAACATTTTATTTAATTGTGGAACGCCACTACAGCCAATGGCAACGTTTGGGCATTGCAACGGACGACAGTGGTCCAATACCTTTTGGTTGTTTATATCGTGTCATGAAAAAAGAACTACCCTTGGGTCTGGTGTTTTCAAATATTTATGAAAAATATGAAGAGAAATTTGTTGGTATTTATATGCTATTTAAACCTGCCATCCTGCTGAGAGATGCCACTGTGATACGTCAAATAATGACCACAGATTTTGGTAGTTTTCATGATCGCGGTGTTTATGTGGATGAAGAGTATGATCCATTATCCTCGCATTTATTCAATTTAAAGGGTCAGACATGGCGTAGTTTGAGGACCAAGTTGACACCCTCATTCTCGTCGGGAAAGCTGAAGGCAATGTTTGAAACGGTCGATGAGGTTGGTGATAAAATGATACGTCATTTGTTAGAAAAGGTGCCGGAAGGAGGAACGCATATAGTGGATGTTAAGGATTTGGCAACGACGTAAGTGAGAGTTTGAATTTTTTGAGATATTCTTAAACAATTTTTGAAATTTAAAAAAAAAATTTAAGTAGATGCTTCGATGTCCGTCTACCCGTACTTATGTCTTTCTGTCTGTCCGTTGGTTGAAATTACCATATAGTCCACAGCATTTAATCTAGAGCTTTGAAATTTGGCACAAAGGTTTATATTATATGCAGGTTGATTGGTATTGAAAATGGGCTATATGGGTCCAAGTTTTGATACGGCCTCCGTATGACGATACCTCCCGATTTTCGGTATTTTGAAGGTTTCTGCCACAAATTCCAACCAAATTAGGTGAAACTTGACCATTGGGGTTCGTGGTGGGTCTGTTTTCACCCTATCAAATATATTCGATAAAGGTCCACGAATTAGTATTGACCTCATATAACGGTACCACCCGATTTTCGGTATTTTGAAGGTTTCTGCAACAATTGCCAATTAAATTAGCTGAAACTTGACAATTGGGCTTCTTGGTAGGTCTGTTCTCTCCCTGCGAAAAATATTCGATTCAGGATTCTCTAATTGGTATTTCCCCCCTATGACGGTACCTCCCGATTTTCGGTATTTTAAAAGTTTCTGCCACAATTTCCAACCAAATTAGCTAAAACTTGGCAATTGGGGTTTCTCGGTATATCTGTTTTCTTCCTCCCAAAACTATTTGCTACAGGTCCACTAATTGGTATGGCCTCCATATAACGATACCTCTCAATTTTCGGTATTTTGAACATTTCTGCCACAATTTCCAACCAAAGTGGCTGAAACATGGCCATCGGGGTCCTCTGTAGGTCTGCTTTCGCTCTGCCAAAAATATTCACTAAAGGTCCACGAATTGGTATGGACCCCATTAAACGGTACCTCCCGATTTTCGAAATTTGGAAGGTTTCTGCATCAATTTCCGACCAAATTAGCTGAAACATGGCCATCGGGGTCCTTTGTAGGTGTCCTTTCGCCCTGCCAAAAAATGCACTAAAGGTCCACGAATTGGTTCGGCCCCCATAAATCGGTACCTCCCGATTTTCGAAATTTGGAAGGTTTCTGCACCAATTTCCGACCAAATTAGCTGAAACATGACAATTGGGGTCCTCGGTAGGTCTTTTATCCCCATGCAAAAAAAAAATATATATATATATTCGCGACAGGTCCACTAATTAGTATATCCCCCATAAAACGATACCTCTCGATTTTCGGTATTTTGAAGATTTCTGCCACGATTTCCAAAAAAAAGTAGCTAAAACTTTACAATTGGGGTTGTTGGTAGGTCCGTTTTCTCTTGCCCAAAATGTTCGCTAAAGGTCCCAATAGTCCCAATATAATGATACCTTCCGATTTTAGGTATTTTGAAGAATTCTGCCACAATATCCAACCAAATTAGCTTAAACTCGAGCATTAAGGTTCTCGGTAGGTCCGTACTCTCCTTGCAAAAAATGTTCGATTCAGGTCCACTAATTCATATAGTCCCCATATAATGGTACCTTCCGATTTTAGGTGTTTCGAAGATTTCTGCCACAATTTCCAACCAAATTACTTGAAACTTGACCATTGTGGTTCGCGGTGGGTCTGTTTTCTCCTGTTTAAAAAAATTCGCTACAGGTCTGCAAATTGGTATGGCCCCAAAAAAAACGATATCTCCCGATATTCGTTATTTTGAAGATTTCTGCCACATTTTCCAATTAGATTAGATAAAGCTTGACATTTGGGGATATCGGTAGGTCCGTTTTCTCCTTTCAAAAAAATTTCGAATCAAGTCCTCTAATTAGTATGGCCTCCATACAACAGTATCTTCCTTTTTCGGTATTTTGATGATTTTAGAAACATTATTCACCGGAATTATTTCAAGTTTCGTATTTGAAGTTCGTAATGGGTACTACAACCGATCACAGAAAATTGTCAATGTAGGTCTACATTTTTGTGTAGCCTCCATATAACGGTATCTCCCGATATTCGGTATTTTGATCATTTTTGGGAGATTATTCACCAGAAGTGTTTGAAATTCCGTATTGGAAGTTCTTAATGGCTACTACAACCTATGACAAAAAATTACTTATGTTGGTCCACGTCTTCTTATAGCCCCTGTATAACGGTTTTTACATAAACGGTATTTTTCGGATTTTTTTGAAATTTTTAAAATTTTTTCCATATAGTGGAGGGTACTAAAACTCACCCCGAAATTATCTGTATTTTTTACATTTTATTTTTTTCCATTCTGAATACAGTTACGCCATTGACATTATTGGATCGGTTATATTTGGTCTGGATATTGATAGTTTCTCGAATCCCAACAACGAATTCCATCTGATGAGTGATGGACTATTTAAGAATCCCAAATCGAATGTTTTGCAGCAAATACGACATGTCATGAACTTCATATGTCCGCCGTAAGTCATATTTCTATTTCTAATAAGGAAAAAAAAACAAAATTATAATAATATTACCCCTCTGACTTTTCCCTCAGGATAGCCCAACTTCTCTGTCGTTTGGGTGTTAACGACCCGATAACCTTTAGTGTACGCGATATTGTGCAACGAACAATTGAATTTCGTGAGAAAAATGGAGTGATGCGCAAAGATTTACTCCAACTGTTGATACAACTGCGAAATACCGGAAAAATATCCGATGATAATGATGACTCCATATGGCGTTCTGAATCGGTGGCCGAAAATTTAAAATCAATCTCGATTGATATGATAGCGGCAAATTTACTTTTATTTTACATCGCCGGGTCGGAAACAACAGCAGCTACCATAGCATTTACTCTATACGAATTGGCGATGTATCCGGAAATATTGTCTAAAGTTCAGCAGGAAATTGACAAATGTTTGACGGAACATAAGTTGAGGGCTGGGGGAGCTTTGAGTTATGATGCCATTAAGGATATGAAATATTTGGATTTGTGTGTCATGGGTAAGTGGATGTGGGGATAAAATTACCTTATATCAGCGGAACTGAAAAATATTTTAAAATATTAAAAAAATATTCCAAACACACTTTTTTTACATCTATCAAATCTTTTTGTCTGATGTAGGGAAATAGGTTAAAAATAGGTACAAAAATAGAAAAGGGCTTAAAACTCAGATGTCCCTCTCAATATAAGCGGTCTATTGGAGAAAATTTTTTATAATACAAATATATCTTCTTTAAATTCTAGAAACAATGCGTAAATACCCCGGTTTACCTTTCTTGAATCGTGAGTGCAACAACGATTTTCAAATCCCCGGCATGGACTTCACCATAAAAAAGGGCACGGCCATAATCATACCTTTATTTGGCCTTCACAGGGATCCTGAATATTTTCCCAATCCAATGGATTATAAACCGGAAAGATTTGATAGAGACATCATGGATTATAATCCCATTGCCTATATGCCATTTGGTGAAGGTCCCCGACATTGTATTGGTGGGAGTTCATATATTTTATCATAAAATTTTTGATTAAATAATTTTTTTGTTTTCAGCTCAGCGCATGGGTGTGGTAAACGTGAAGGTTGCCTTGGTCAAATTTTTATCCAACTTTACAATTGAACCCATGGAACGTAAGGAAGTTGAATTTAAGTTTCACACAACGCCCATCCTTCTGCCAAAAGGAGGTCTACCAATATCCATACGAAGGAGATGATCTTTGGAAAACAATTAGGAAGACTGAGAAGAATAAATATAAATATTTTTAGAGTGGAATAATTGAAGGTCTTCTTTTCAAAGAGCACCTATAGGTCATAGAGGAAAAAAACGGTCTTCCAAAAAAGAGAAGAGAAGGTCTCTTCATTGAAGATTCTCATAGAGAACAAAAAAGTGATATATAGGTCATAAAAGTGATATATAGGCCATAAAAAGTGATATATAGGTCATTTTAGGGAAGGTACGAGGAAGGGGTCTTCTTTTGGATGAAAAGAAGAAGAGATCTTCTTGTAGAAAAAAAGAGAAATTGTTGTTCTGTCAAAGAAAAAGAAGTCTTTTCCATAAGTGAAAAGGAGATATTCTCTTAGCAGAGAAATAGAGGTATTTTTAAGGAAGAGAAGAATACAATTATGTCTTCTTCTAGAAAAGAGGAAGAAGCCTTTTTCGAGGGGAGAAGACGAATTCTTCTTCCTTGTGAGAAGAAGAATCCTTCTTCTACCAAAGTAGAAGAGTTCTTCTTCTACAAGAGAAGAAGAGGGAAGATGAAGATGTCTAATTCACCTAGGTCTTCATCTTCTAGGAGAGATAAAGAGGTATGCATATTCTAGGAAAGATGAAGAGGTCTTCATCTGCTAGAAGATATGAAGAGGTCTTTATATTTTAGGAGTCATGAAGAGGTATTCATCATCTAGAACGGACGAAGATGTATTTTTCCTTTAGAAGGGAAGAAGATGTTTCATCCATCTAGGAGAAAAGAAGAGGTATTCCTAATCTAAGAATGATGAAGAGATTTCCATCTTTTACGAGAGATTAAGAGATCTTCACGCTTTTGGACGGAAGAAGCTGTTTCCTTCCTCTAGGAGAGAAAAAAATGCCATCTTCCTAGGAGGGAAGAAGAGGTCTTCCTACTCTAGGAGAGAAGAACATGTTTTCTTACTCTAGGAAAAAAAGAAGAAGTCTTCTTCCTTTTTGGGAGAAAATCTTCTAGGAGAGAAGATGAGGTCTCCCTCTTCCTGAATAGCTGAGGTCTTCTTCAATCAGAATATAAGAAGCAGAAGTTTTCTTCTGCTAAAAGAGAAGATGTCTTCTTCTTCGACGAAGAAGAAATAGTTTAGACGAAAAGAAGCCGATACATTCTCCTTTTTCTAGAAAAAAAATCAATTTGAGGTCTCCTTCTTCTATAAAAGATGAAGTTGAGCTAGAAGATCTGGTCTTCTTTCATAGATGAGTAGAAGATGTGGTCTTCTCTCATAGATGAGTAGAAGATGTGGTCTTCTCTCATAGATGAGTAGAAGATGTGGTCTTCTCTCATAGATGAATAGAAGAAAAGGTCTTCTCTCATAGATGAATAGAAGAAAAGGTCTTCTCTCATAGATGAATAGAAGAAAAGGTCTTCTCTCATAGATGAGGGGAAGAAGAGTTCTTTTCTCACAGATGAGTAGAAGATGAGGTCTTCTCTAAGAGATGAGTAGAAGAAGATATCTTCTCTCATAGCTGAGTAGAAAATGAGGTCTTCTCTTATAGCTGAGTAGAAGATGTTGACTTCTCTCATAGATAAGTAGAAGAAGAGGTCTTCTCTCATAGATGATGGGAAGAAGAGTTCTTCTCGCACTGATGAGAGAAAGAAGAGGTCTTCCCTCACTGATGAGAAGAAGAAGAGGTCTTCTTTTTCTGATGAGTAGAAGAAGAGGTCTTCTCTCATTGATGAGCAGAAAAAAGGTATTTGAGAGTAAAGAACTTTTCATAGAAGAGAAGTAGAGGTCTTTTTAAAGAAGATAGGTAAGACTTCATCTTCAAAGGGTCTCATTTAGAAAAAGACAACTAGGTCTTCTTTTTTGATAAAAAAAGGAAGAACTCTTGTTGCCGAAGCATATTTTCACCTATATTTTCTTCTTACACAAGAATAAGAGAAATGTCCTCCTTTTAGAAGAGAAGATGTTTTTTCTACGACAAAGGAAGGGGTCTTACTCGCCTGTTAGGAGAGTGAAGCAGAGGCCTTCTTCGTCGAGGTGAGATGAAACCGTCTTCTTCTTGGAACGAAAAAATAATGATTCTTCATATTTTCCGCAGGGAATAACATTATTATATTATTCTAGGAGAGCAGTAGATCTTATTTTAGAAGACGAGCATTTCTTCTTTAAGAACTTATCTTAAAATATTATCAAAGAAGAGATCTTGGGCATTTTTCGAAGAAGACGTTCTGGCCTTTTCCATGAAGATCATTAGATATTTTTTTCGAAGTAGACCCCCAGCTCTTCTTTTACAAGAATAACGCCTGTCGTCCTATAGGAAACAAGTAAAAAGGGTGTATACCCTCCACCATTTGATACAAATTTGGCAATTTTCAAAACATTAAAATCCATTCAAAATTCTGTTAAAATCTTAAAAATACCTATACGACGACGTTGACCTGCATACGAAACTTTTGTCATAAGGCTGTCCAGACAATTTTCTGGCATATGCTGTAGTATCCATTACGAACGTCAAATACAAAATTTGAAATTATTCTGGTGTATAATGTCGCTAAAATCATCAAAATACCGTATATCGGGGGTACCCTTATATGGGGCCTATACAAAGACGTGGACCTGCACGGACAATTTTTTGTCACAGGCTGTAGTATCCATTACGAACTTCAAATACAATACCATTACTTACTTTCGTTCGGAAGTTAGAGTGATTCCCACAGACGGACGGACATTGTTAAATCCACAGAGAATTTTATGATGATCAAGAATATATATACTTTGTGGGGTCTAAAATGTATATTTCGAGGTGTTACAAACGGAATGCCGAACGTAATATAACCTCCATACTATGGTGGAGGATATACAAATATTTTGGTTCTCTTATAGAAGAAAACCTTCAAGATTACTTATAGGAAAAGACATGTAGGTAGGCTTATAGATTAAGATCTTCTCTAAACCTTATTACAGTTGGAGACCTCTGGGTCATCTTATAGACGGAAGACGTCTTATCTAAGAAAACCTCTGTGTCTTTTTATGGATGAATGTCTCTTGGTTTTTTTTATAGAATTTTACATCTAGGTCTTTATATAAATATACCAAAGGATTTTCTTATAGGAGACCATCATGTACTTCATATGAAGTAAGTGATCTAGCTCATCTTATAGAAGAAAGGTATTTTTTCTTCTTGTTAAATAAGACCTCTGGATCTTCCCTATATAAGTGTTATGTGGCTTCTTATGTAAAAGCATTATATCATCTTGTTAAAAATGGATTTTTTTTAAATATGAAATTTATTATTAGCATCTTAACCAATTGTCAAATAAACTTAATCTGAAGCAATGCTACAATGACAGATAATGGAAGCTTTTCTATGTAAAATACCATGAAAGCTTAACAATAGTCAAGGTGTGGGTCACCATTGAAAAAAGCTACTTACATATTCACTTCATTATTATAGTGCCAACTGCAACATCTATGGCATCCACAAATCTTCTATAAAATAATGGAGTGATCGACAGATCGACAAAAGAAAATTTCAACACTTTTCTTTGGCAACAAAAAATTTGTTCAACACAAATTTGAAACAAAATAAAACAAATAAAACAGCTAAGACGTAACATTACACAATTCAAACGGCTAAATGCTTCAAATAACAGCAACGTAATCCCATACGTAAACACCTCAGAAAAACAATGATCAAATGCACAATAATATTAACACAATAATATAATAAAGAAAAGCAAAGCAAAAATAACAATATATGGAAATTTGTTAGACAAGTTTGAATTTTAGAGACTCTGCTTTTGAAGTGGGGAGGAATATGTAAAACAATGTTATTACGAGGCATGGCTTTTATTTTTTAGAGAAAAAAATTATTTACTACCCTCTGAGTTATAATCGTAGTTTTTTGAAAAAAAAAAGATCCAGTACTCCCTAAGCTTTAATCATGGATTTTTTTAAAGAAAACTTATTTTTAAATACCGGCTGAGATATAGTCTTAGATTTAAATAAAGTAAAAAAGCTGCAATACCCTCCACCATAAGGCACAAATTTGGCAATTTTCAAAAAATTAAAATCCATTAAAAATTCCTTTACAATCTTAAAAATACCGAATGTGGCCGTATATTAGGGTCTATACGATCTGCATAGGCAACTTTTATCATAAGCCTGCACAGACAATTTTCTGGCATAGGTTGTAGTATCCATTACGAACTTTAAATACAAAATTTTAATAATTCCGGTAAATAATGTCGCCAAAATCATCAAAATACCGTACATCCGGGGTATCGTTATATGGGGGCAAAAATTTTTCTGTCACAGGGTGTAATATCTGTTACGAACTTTAAATGCGAACTTATGCTGTAGTATTCATTACGAACTTCGATACCAAATTTTAAACAATTCCCGTAAATAATGTCGGTAAAATAATCAAAATACCGCATATCGGGAGGTACCGATACATGGGGGCTATACGAAGACATGGACCTACATGACCCATTTTCAATACCAAAAGTCATGCAGACATAATACACATTTGAGTAAATTTGTATCAACTTACTTCATTTCGTTCAAAAGCTAGAGTGATCTCGCACCATCGTTGGTTACTGTGATACTGGTAGCGAGCCCCAAGGAAGTGGACAGAAGAAAACACCAACATCAAGTAAAGAAGCGACTTGATCGAAACCCGCGTTGCAGTGGCCGAAAAATGGCTCGTGAGCTGAACATATCGTCATATACTATTCCGCAAATATTGAAATATGAGCTCGGGGTAAACCATTGAAATTCCAAAAAGTGCAAGAACTTACACCGCAACAAAAAAAAATAGACTCAAAAGAGCTAAAGAGTTGCTTCGCTTGGCCGAAGGTGGTGCCGAATTTGGTTTTCTCCGATGAGAAAACATTCGTTGTCCAGCAGTTTGTAAACAAACAAAATTATCGTGTGATCGGCGCTTGCTAAAGAGGTCAGCTGAAAATATGCACCTTCGGTTGGCCACCAGAGCTCAAGCGCCGGCCATGGTGATTGTGTGGTCCGATGGTCGCTCTCCGCTCGTAGTAATCGACCGTAGCATCCGAATGTGCCAAATATTATCGCGAAAATACTCTGGAGGGTGTAATAAAGCCTTGGGCATGCGAACATTTTGGCTGCAGACCTTGGACATTCCAACAGGACTCAGCACCATCACCCTCAGCACCCAAGAATGGTTAAA